GGGGTCTTCGGGGCTGCCTTGGGCGGTTGGGGTTCTTCTTCTGCGTCCCATCCGCGTCCATCCCATCCCAGGGATCCCATCCCATTATCCCATTATCCCATTACCCCATTACCCCATTATCCCATTATCCCATTATCCCATTATCCCATTATCCCATTACCCCATCATCCCATTATCCCATTATCCCATCATCCGATCATCCCATTATCACATCCCATCCCATATCCCAAATCCCATCCCATCCCATCCCACCCCATCCCATTGTCCCACCCCGTCCCATTACCCCATCCCATTCCATCTCATCTCCCTTCTCTCCATCCCAATCCCAATCCCAAATCATATCCCAAGCCATTATCCCATTCCATTCCATCAATCCCATCCCCCATCTCCATCCCTTCTCTCCATCCCATCCCATTATCCCATCCTATCACCACATCCCGTCCCATATCCCCTATCCCCTAACCCAAATCCTATATCCCAAATCCCATATCCCAAATCCCATCCCATCCATTATCCCATCCCCACCCCTGGATCCCATTATCCCGATATCCCATATCCCTTATCCCAAATCCCATATCCTAAATCCCAAATCCCCATATCCCAATATCCCATCTCCTGGCCCCGCAGGGACATCACTGTCAGGAACATCCTGGTGGCCTCTCCTCTCCATTATCATATCCCAAATCCCATTATCCCAAATCCCCTCTTCCATATCCGAAATCCCATTATCCCATTATCCCAAATCCCAAGTCCCGTATCCCATTATCCCAAATCCCGTATCCCGATATCGCGTCCCCGCAGGGACATCGCTGTCAGGAACATCCTGGTGTCCTCTCCTCTCCATTATCCCAAATCCCATTATCCCAAATCCCCTATTCCATATCCCAAATCCCATTATCCCCTATCCCTTTATCCCCTATCCCGTTATCCCAATATCGCGTCCCCGCAGGGACATCGCCATCAGGAACATCATGGTGGCCTCTTCTCTCCATTATCATATCCCAAATCCCATTATCCCAAATCCCATTATCCCATTATCCGAAATCCCATTATCCCATTATCCCAAATTCCAAGTCCCGTATCCCATTATCCCCCATCCCATATCCCAAATCCCGTTATCCCGTTATCCCATTATCCCGTCCCCGCAGGGACATCGCCGTCAGGAACATCCTGGTGGCCTCTCCTCTCCATTATCCCAAATCCCATTTTCCCATTATCCCAAATCCCATTATCCCATTATCCCGAATCCCAAATCCCCTGTCCCAAATCCCGTTATCCCGTTATCCCGTTGTTATCCCGTTATCCCGTCCCCGCAGGGACATCGCCGTCAGGAACATCCTGGTGGCCTCTCCTCTCCATTATCCCAAATCCCATTTTCCCACATCCCATTATCCCAAATCCCAAATCCTGTATCCCATTGTTATCCCGTTATCCCAATATCCCGTCCCCGCAGGGACATCGCCGTCAGGAACATCCTGGTGGCCTCTCCTCTCCATTATCATATCCCATGTCCCAATTATCCCGTCCCTGCAGGGACATCGCCGTCAGGAACATCCTGGTGTCCTCTCCTCTCCATTATCCCAAATCCCAAATCCCATATCCCATTATCCCGATATCCCGTTATCCCGTCCCCGCAGGGACATGGCGTCAGGAACATCCTGGTGTCCTCTCCTCTCCATTATCCCAAATCCCATTTTCCCATATCCCAAATCCCAAATCCCCTATCCCGTTATCCCGTTATCCCGTCCCCGCAGGGACATCCCGTCCCCGTCAGGAACATCCTGGTGGCCTCTCCTCTCCATTATCCCAAATCCCATTATCCCAAATCCCAAATCCCCTATCCCACATCCCAAATCCCGTATCCCATTATCCCATTATCCCGATATCGCGTTATCCCGTCGCCGCAGGGACATCGCCGTCAGGAACATCCTGGTGGCCTCTCCTCTCCATTATCCCAAATCCCATTATCCCAAATCCCAAATCCCATTATCCCGATATCCCAAATCCCCCGTCCCACATCCCGTATCCCGTTATCCCGTTATCCCAATATCGCGTTATCCCGTTATCCCGTCGCCGCAGGGACATCGCCGTCAGGAACATCCTGGTGGCCTCCCCGGAATGCGTCAAGCTCGGAGACTTCGGCCTCTCCCGCTACATCGAGGATGAGGAATACTACAAAGGTGGGATCCCGTGGGATCGGGGATCCCGTGGGGTCCCTCGGGATGGCGCGGGGGGAACGGGGGGCGGATCTCGGGATCATTCCGGGGTCATTCCAGCTTCCGTCACCCGCCTGCCCATCAAGTGGATGTCGCCGGAATCCATCAACTTCCGGCGCTTCACCACGGCCAGCGACGTCTGGATGTTCGGTGCGTGCCGGGATCCTGGGATTCAGGGGGGGATCCCGGGATTCAGCATGGTGGGGTGGGATCCCGGGAGTGATCCGCTTCCCAAAATGTGGGGTGGGATCCTGGGATTCAGAGGGGGATCCCGGGATTCATCATCATGGGGTGGGATCCTGGGATTGATCCGCTTCCGGTGGAGTGGAATGGGATCCTGGGATTGATCTGCTTCCCATGGCATGGAATGGGATCCTGGGGTTGATCCGCTTGCCAAAATGTGGGGTGGGATCCTGGGATTCAGAGGGGGATCCCGGGATTCAGCATGGTGGGGTGGGATCCTGGGAGTGATCCGCTTCCCAGGATGTGGGGTGGGATCCTGGGATTCAGAGGGGGATCCCGGGATTCATCATCATGGGGTGGGATCCTGGGATTGATCCGCTTCCGGTGGAGTGGAATGGGATCCTGGGATTGATCTGCTTCCCATGGCATGGAATGGGATCCTGGGGTTGATCCGCTTGCCAAAATGTGGGGTGGGATCCTGGGATTCAGAGGGGGATCCCGGGATTCATCATCATGGGGTGGGATCCTGGGATTGATCCGCTTCCGGTGGAATGGATTGGGATCCTGGTATTGATCTGCTTCCCATGGCATGGAGCAGGATCCTGTGATTCAGAGTGGGATTCTGGGATTCAGCATGGTGGGGTGGGATCCCGGGAGTGATCCGCTTCCGGTGGAATGGAATGGGATCCTGGGATTGATCCGCTTCCCAAGATGTGGGATTCAGAGGGGGATCCTGGAATTCATCGTGGAATGGGATCCTGGGATTGATCCACTTGCCATGGTGTGGAGTGGGATCCTGGGATTGATTCACTTCCTGTGGAATGGAATGGGATCCCAGGATTGATCTGTTTCCCATGGCATGGAGCAGGATCCTGGGATTCAGAGGGGGATCCCGGGATTCATCATCATGGGGTGGGATCCTGGGATTGATCCGCTTCCCATGGCATGACCTGGGATCCTGGCATTGATTTGCTTCCTGAGGGGTGGGATCCTGGGATTCAGCATCGTGGGGTGGGATCCTGGGATTGATCCGCTTCCCATGGCATGACCTGGGATCCTGGCATTGATTTGCTTCCTGAGGGGTGGGATCCTGGGATTCAGAGTGGGATCCTGGAATTCATCATCGTGGAGTGGGATCCCAGGATTGATCCACTTCCCGTGATGTGGAGTGGGATCCTGGGATTCATGCGATTCCCATGGCATGGAATGGGATCCTGGGATTGATCCTCTTCCCATGGGGTGGGGTGGGATCCTGGGATTCAGAGTGGGATCCCAGAATTAATTCATCCTCATGGGGTGGGATCCCGGGATTGATCCTCTTCTTGTGGCATGGAATGGGATCCTGGGATTCAGAGTGGGATCCCGGAATTCACCATCGTGGAGCGGGATCCCAGGATTGATCCCTTCCCCATGGCGTGGGATTCTGGGATTCACCTAATTCCCATGGCATGGAGCAGAATCCCAGGGCTGATCCCTTTCCCGTGGCACGCCCAAGGACAAATCCCGCTCCGGAATTTCCCGACTTTCTTCCCAGCTCCAGATCATCCCAATTTTTTCCCCTGGGAGAAGCCATCCTAGGGAAGGGCTTCCATTCACCCATCCAAATTCCAGGCGCTTCCTCCTCCTCATCCAGGGATTTCAGGGAAGTTCTGGGATGAGCTAAACTCTCCCCACTGCAAAAAAATCCCAACCTCCAACCCCTCTGGAATCAGGAATTCTGTGTATCCCACCACAAAGTGCCACCAGATTCCCAAAAAAAACCCCCGGGAAGGGGCGGATTCCCGGGAATTCTGGTGGCCTGAGGCTGTCCCGGTCGCTCCCGCAGCCGTGTGCATGTGGGAGATCCTGAGCTACGGGAAGCAGCCGTTCTTCTGGCTGGAAAACAAGGATGTGATCGGAGTCCTGGAAAAGGGGGATCGGCTTCCCAAACCCGACCTGTGCCCGCCCGTGCTCTACACGCTCATGACGCGCTGCTGGGACTACGATCCCGGGGAAAGGCCCAAATTCCAGGAGCTGGTCTGCAGCCTGAGGTGAGCCTGGAATGCTGGAGGGACCACGGAAGGGGTGGGAATGTTGCGGGGGAAAAGCTTGGAAAAGCTTGGGATCCAGAGTTTTTATGGAAAAGTTTGGGTTCAGAGCCTTACCTGGGAATCAAAACACTCCAACTCCAAAAGGTCTCCAAGGCTGGGAATTCTGGAGTGGGATGGAGAGGTGGGAATGAGGAGGAACAATCTGGGAAAAGCTTTGGAATTGGGAGATTTTATGGAAAAGTTTGGGCTTGGGATGGAAGGGCTTTGCTTCCCGGGAAAGGGTCTCCAGAGGGTCTCCAAGGCTTCTCCAAGCCCAAATTCCAGGAGCTGCTTTGCAGCCTGAGGTGAGCCTGGAATGCTGGAGGAACCACGGAAGGGGGGGGAATGTTGCGGGGGAAAAGCTTGGAGAAGTTTGGGATCGGGAGATTTTGCGGGAGAGTTTGGGTCTTGCTGGGGAGTGATCGCTCCCATTCCAAAGGGTCTCCAAGGCTCCTCCAAGCCCAAATTCCAGGAGCTGCTCTGCAGCCTGAGGTGAGCCTGGAATGCTGGAGGACCCATGGAATGGGTGGGAATCCTGGGGGTGAAAAGCTGGGAAAAGCTTGGGATCCAGAGTTTTTATGGAAAAGTTTGGGTTCAGAGCCTTTCCCGGGAAGTGAAACATTCCAACTCCAAAGGGAATTCTGGAGGATCCGTGGAGAGATGGATTGCTGGGAATCTGGAAGGAAAATCTGGGAAAAGTGTGGGATTGGGAGTTTTTGTGGAAAATTTGGGGTTCGGAGCCTTTCCTGGGAATCAAAACACTCCAAAGTGACTCCAAGGCCGGGACGTGGGATGGAGAGGTGGGAACGTGGAGGAAGGAGCTGGGAAAAACTTGGGATCGGGAGTTTTTATGGAAAAGTTTGGGTTTAGAGACCCTCCAAAGGGTCTCCAAGACGGGAATTCCCGGGATGTCACCCCCGTGTCCCCTCCCCGCAGTGACATTTACCTGATGGAGAAGGAGCTGGCCAAGGAGCAGGAGAGGAACAACCGGCACCGCCCTCCCAAAATCCTGGAGCCGCCGGCATTCCAGGAGCCGCCTCCCAAGGTTGGGACGGGGCGGGGCCCTCGGCGGCGCCGAAACCCGGGATTTCCCGGACGGGATTCCGGAGGAATTCCCGCCTTTCTTCCCCATTCCCGCAGCCCAGCAGGCCCGTGTACAAGCCGCCATCCCAGAATAACCTCCTGGCTCCCAAGCTGCAATTCCAGGTGAGGAATTCCGGGATTTGGGCGGGGGTTGAGGACGGGAGATCGCGGGAATCCCGTGGATTTTGGGATCGGAGGTGCTTCCGGCTCCGGGTTGTGTCCGTCAGGGAATCCCGGAATTGTTGAGGTTGGAAAAGCTCTTGGAGACCTTGGAGTCCGACCAATCCCACCCCGGATCTGCGTCCCCCCTCCCCAGAATCCATGTGGATTTGAATCCATCCAGGAATTCCGGGCATTCACCCACCGCTCTCCAGGGCTGGAGGGGTTTTCCATGCAGGAGTTATTCCCGATATCCCAAAATATCCCAAAATATCCTGAGCCCACTTTTAGGACGAGCCCGATCCCGGGGACGGCTCCCGGCGCAATTCCTGCTCTTTGGAGGCCAGAATATTCCAGAATATTCAAAAATATCCCATAATATTCCAAGCTGGAATATTAGGACGAGCCTGAACCTGATCCAAGATGGCTCCTGGCACAATTCCCGCTCTTTGGAGGCCAGAATATCCCAAAATATCCCAAAAATATCCGAAAATATTCCAAGCCTACTTTTAGGATGAGGCCAATCCCAATCCAGGACGGCTCCTGGCACAATTCCCACTCTTTGTAGGCCAGAATATTCAAAAATATCCCAAAATATCCTAAAATACCCCAAAACATTCCAAAATATCCCAAAATATCCCAGAATATTACAAGCCCATTTTTGGAACGAGGCCGATCCCGACCCCGGGACAATTCCCGCTCCCGGGAGGCCAGAATATCCCAAAATATCCCAAAATATCCTAAAATACCCCAAAATATCCCAACATATCCCAAAAGATGCCAAAATATTCCATAATATCCCAAAATATCCCAGAATATCCCTAGCCCACTTTTAGGATGAGACCGATCCCGATCCCAGGACGACTCCTGGCACAATTCCTGCTCTTTGGAGGCCAGAATATTCCAAAATATCCTAAAATACCCCAAAATATCCCAACATATCCCAAAATATCCCAACATATCCCACAATATCCCAGAATATTCCAAGCCCACTTTTAGGATAGGGCCAATCCCGATCCGGGGACAGCTTCTAGCACAATTCCCGCTCTTCGGAGGCCAGAATATCCCAAAATACCCCAAAATATCCCAACATATCCCAAAATATCCCAAAATATTCCAAAATATCCCAAAATATCCCAGAATATTCCAAGCCCATTTTTAGGATAGGGCCGATCCCGATCCAGGGACAGCTCCCAGACCAATTCCTGCTCTTTGGAGGCCAGAATATCCCAAAATATCCTAAAATACCCCCAAATATCCCAAAATATCCCAAAATATTCTGAAATAGCCCAGAATATCCCAAGCCCACTTGTAGGACGAGGCCGATCCCAATCCCGGGACAATTCCCGCACCTGGGAGGCCAGAATATCCCAAAATATCCCAAAATATCCTAAAATACCCCAAAATATCCCAACATATCCCAAAACGGAGGAATTCCCGATCCTCAAAAATTGTCCCGTTGGGATTCGGCATCCGGAGGAATTCCCGATCCTCAAAAATTGTCCCGTTGGGATTCGGCATCCGGAGGAATTCCCGATCCTCAAAAATTGTCCCGTTGGGATTCGGCATCCGGAGGAATTCCCGATCCTCAAAAATTGTCCCGTTGGGATTCGGCATCCGGAGGAATTCCCGATCCTCAAAAATTGTCCCGTTGGGATTCGGCATCCGGAGGAATTCCCGATCCTCAAAAATTGTCCCGTTGGGATTCGGCATCCGGAGGAATTCCCGATCCTCAAAAATTGTCCCGTTGGGATTCGGCATCCGGAGGAATTCCCGATCCTCAAAAATTGTCCCGTTGGGATTCGGCATCCGGAGGAATTCCCGATCCTCAAAAATTGTCCCGTTGGGATTCGGCATCCGGAGGAATTCCCGATCCTCAAAAATTGTCCCGTTGGGATTCGGCATCCGGAGGAATTCCCGATCCTCAAAAATTGTCCCGTTGGGATTCGGCATCCGGAGGAATTCCCGATCCTCAAAAATTGTCCCGTTGGGATTCGGCATCCGGAGGAATTCCCGATCCTCAAAAATTGTCCCGTTGGGATTCGGCATCCGGAGGAATTCCCGATCCTCAAAAATTGTCCCGTTGGGATTCGGCATCCGGAGGAATTCCCGATCCTCAAAAATTGTCCCGTTGGGATTCGGCATCCGGAGGAATTCCCGATCCTCAAAAATTGTCCCGTTGGGATTCGGCATCCGGAGGAATTCCCGATCCTCAAAAATTGTCCCGTTGGGATTCGGCATCCGGAGGAATTCCCGATCCTCAAAAATTGTCCCGTTGGGATTCGGCATCCGGAGGAATTCCCGATCCTCAAAAATTGTCCCGTTGGGATTCGGCATCCGGAGGAATTCCCGATCCTCAAAAATTGTCCCGTTGGGATTCGGCATCCGGAGGAATTCCCGATCCTCAAAAATTGTCCCGTTGGGATTCGGCATCCGGAGGAATTCCCGATCCTCAAAAATTGTCCCGTTGGGATTCGGCATCCGGAGGAATTCCCGATCCTCAAAAATTGTCCCGTTGGGATTCGGCATCCGGAGGAATTCCCGATCCTCAAAAATTGTCCCGTTGGGATTCGGCATCCGGAGGAATTCCCGATCCTCAAAAATTGTCCCGTTGGGATTCGGCATCCGGAGGAATTCCCGATCCTCAAAAATTGTCCCGTTGGGATTCGGCATCCGGAGGAATTCCCGATCCTCAAAAATTGTCCCGTTGGGATTCGGCATCCGGAGGAATTCCCGATCCTCAAAAATTGTCCCGTTGGGATTCGGCATCCGGAGGAATTCCCGATCCTCAAAAATTGTCCCGTTGGGATTCGGCATCCGGAGGAATTCCCGATCCTCAAAAATTGTCCCGTTGGGATTCGGCATCCGGAGGAATTCCCGATCCTCAAAAATTGTCCCGTTGGGATTCGGCATCCGGAGGAATTCCCGATCCTCAAAAATTGTCCCGTTGGGATTCGGCATCCGGAGGAATTCCCGATCCTCAAAAATTGTCCCGTTGGGATTCGGCATCCGGAGGAATTCCCGATCCTCAAAAATTGTCCCGTTGGGATTCGGCATCCGGAGGAATTCCCGATCCTCAAAAATTGTCCCGTTGGGATTCGGCATCCGGAGGAATTCCCGATCCTCAAAAATTGTCCCGTTGGGATTCGGCATCCGGAGGAATTCCCGATCCTCAAAAATTGTCCCGTTGGGATTCGGCATCCGGAGGAATTCCCGATCCTCAAAAATTGTCCCGTTGGGATTCGGCATCCGGAGGAATTCCCGATCCTCAAAAATTGTCCCGTTGGGATTCGGCATCCGGAGGAATTCCCGATCCTCAAAAATTGTCCCGTTGGGATTCGGCATCCGGAGGAATTCCCGATCCTCAAAAATTGTCCCGTTGGGATTCGGCATCCGGAGGAATTCCCGATCCTCAAAAATTGTCCCGTTGGGATTCGGCATCCGGAGGAATTCCCGATCCTCAAAAATTGTCCCGTTGGGATTCGGCATCCGGAGGAATTCCCGATCCTCAAAAATTGTCCCGTTGGGATTCGGCATCCGGAGGAATTCCCGATCCTCAAAAATTGTCCCGTTGGGATTCGGCATCCGGAGGAATTCCCGATCCTCAAAAATTGTCCCGTTGGGATTCGGCATCCGGAGGAATTCCCGATCCTCAAAAATTGTCCCGTTGGGATTCGGCATCCGGAGGAATTCCCGATCCTCAAAAATTGTCCCGTTGGGATTCGGCATCCGGAGGAATTCCCGATCCTCAAAAATTGTCCCGTTGGGATTCGGCATCCGGAGGAATTCCCGATCCTCAAAAATTGTCCCGTTGGGATTCGGCATCCGGAGGAATTCCCGATCCTCAAAAATTGTCCCGTTGGGATTCGGCATCCGGAGGAATTCCCGATCCTCAAAAATTGTCCCGTTGGGATTCGGCATCCGGAGGAATTCCCGATCCTCAAAAATTGTCCCGTTGGGATTCGGCATCCGGAGGAATTCCCGATCCTCAAAAATTGTCCCGTTGGGATTCGGCATCCGGAGGAATTCCCGATCCTCAAAAATTGTCCCATTTTTGGGATCCACTTCCCACTGGGATCCGGCATCCAGAGGCCTTCCCAATCCTCAAAAATTGTCCCATTTTTGGGATCCTCTTCCCGTTGGGATTCATCATCCGGTGGTCATCCAAATCCTCAAAAATCCTCCCGTTTTTGGGATCCACTGGGATCCACTTCCCACTGGGATTCAGCATCCGGTGGTCATCCAAATCCTCAAAAATCCTCCCGTTTTTGGGATCCACTGGGATCTACTTCCCACTGGGATTCGGCATCCAGAGGTCTTCCCAAAGCCTCGTTTTTGGGATGTGCTTCCCACTGGGATTTGGCATCTGGAGGAATTCCCAATCCTCAGAAATTGTCCCATTTTTGGGATCCACTTCCCACTGGGATCCGGCATCCAGAGGCCTTCCCAATCCTCAAAAATTGTCCCATTTTTGGGATCCACTTCCCACTGGGATCCGGCATCCAGAGGCCTTCCCAAAGCCTCGTTTTTGGGATGTGCTTCCCACTGGGATTTGGCATCTGGAGGAATTCCCAATCCTCAGAAATTGTCCCATTTTTGGGATCCTCTTCCTGTTGGGATTCAGCATCCAGAGGCCTTCCCAGTCCTCAGAAATTGTCCCGTTTTTGGTATCCATTGGGATCCACTTCCCATTGGGATTCAGCATTCGGAGGCCTCCCCAATCCTCAAAAATTGTCCCGTTTTTTGGGATCCTCTTCCCGTTGGGATTCAGCATCCGGTGATCATCCAAATCCTCAAAAATCCTCCCGTTTTTGGGATCCACTGGGATCCACTTCCCATTGGGATTCGGCATCCAGAGGTCTTCCCCAAGCCTCATTTTTGGGATGTGCTTCCCACTGGGATTTGGCATTCCCAATCCTCAAAAATTGTCCCGTTTTTGGGATCCTCTTCCTGTTGGGATTCGGCATCCAGAGGCCTCCCCAATCCTCAAAAATCCTCCTGTTTTTGGGATCCATTGGGATCCACTTCTCACTGGGATTTGGAATCCAGAGGTCTTCCCAATCCTCAAAAATTATCCCGTTTTTGGGATCCTCTTCCCGTTGGGATTCGGCATCCGGAGGCCTCCCCAACCCTCAAAATTCCATCCCATTTTTGGGATCCGCTTCCCGCCGCCGCTTCCCGCCGCTGCTTCCCGCCGCTCCCTGCTCCACCTTGGATCCGTTGGATCGACAAATCCCGTTCCCAACGGAATCCCATCCCCATCTTCGCGACGTCCCCGTGTTTCCCCTCCCCGTATCCTGGATTTTTTTGGGATGGCCTTCCCAAAAAACGAGGCTTTTCTGGCTGCTCCTGCCTCGGGATCCCGCCCGAAATTCCGGAGGGCGATTTTCCAGCTGGTTGCGATCCCAAAATTTCTCCCGGGAGCTGGGATGCTCCGAGCTGCTGTGCCGGGAATGCCGTGGTTGCCTCTCCTTGCTGGAAATCCAATTTCCCGATTTTTCCCTATTTTCCCCTACTTTTCCCCATTTTTCCCACCTATTTTACCCCCCTTCCCCCATTTTCTCCCTTTTCCCCCTCCACTTTTTCCCTCTTTTTTCCCACCTTTTCCCCCTTTCACGTTCTTTTCCCATTTTCCCCCTTTTTCTCCCCATTTTCCCCCATTTTTCTCCCCATTTTCCCCGTTTCCCCCATCTTCCCTTTTTTCCTATTTTTCCCTTTTCTCCTGCTTTTCCCCCTTTATCCTGTTTTTCCCCCTTTTTCTCCTTTTTTTCTCCTTTATCCCCCCTTTTTCCCCTTTTTCCATTTTCTTCGCTTTTCTCCCCATTTCTCCTTTTTCCTCCTTTTTCCCCTTTCACCTCCTCTTCCCCTTTTCTCCCCATTTTTCCCTTTTTTTCTCTTATTTCTCATTTTCCCCCATTTTCCCCTTTTCCCCCATTTCTCCTTTCCCCCACTTTTCCCCCATTTTTCCCATTTTTCTCCCTATTCTCCCCAGTTTCTCCTTTTTTCCTTTCTTTCCCCTTTTTTCCCCCTTTATCCCCATTTTTCCCCTTTTCCCCATTTCTCCTTTCCCCCCTTTTTCTTCCTATTCTCCCTTTTCTCCTTTTTTCTCATTTTTCCCCATTTCCCTCCTTTTCCCCTTTTTCCCTTTTTATCCCCATTCCAAATTTCCCCCATTTTCCCCCTTTTCCGCCACTTTCCCCATTTTTCTCCCTATTCTCCCTTTTCTCCCCACTTTCACTTTTTTCTTCTTTTCCCTCCCTTTTCCCTCCCTTTTCCACCTTTTCCCCTTTTCCCCCCATTTATCCTTTCCCCCTTTTCCTCTTTTTCCCCATTTTTCTCCCTTTTCTCCCCAGTTTCACTTTTTTCTCCTTTTCTCCTTTTTTCTCATTTTTTCTCCATTTCGCCTCTTTTCCCCTTTTTCTCCTTTTCCCCCTTTTTCTTCCTATTCTCCCTTTTCCCCTTTTTTCTCATTTTCCCCATTTCACCCTTTTCCCACCTTTTTTCCCCTTTTTCTCCCTTCCCCCCTTTTCCCCCCTTTTTCCCCCTTTTCCCCTTTTTCTCCTTTTCCCCCCATTTCTCCTTTCCCCCACTTTCCCCCCATTTTCCCTTTTCCCCCCTTTTTCCTCATTTTCCCCCTTTCCCCCCCTTTATCCCCATTTCCCCCCTTTTCTTCCTATTCTCCCTTTTTTCTCATTCTCCCTTCCCCCCTTTTCCCTTTCCCCATTTCTCCTTTTCCCCCCATTTCTCCTTTCCCCCACTTCCCCCCCATTTTCCCTTTTCCCCCCTTTCCCTCTTTCCCCTTTTTCTCCTTTTCCCCTTTTTTCCCCTTTTCCCCACATTTCTCCTTTCCTCCATTTCCCCCCCTTTTCCCCCATTTTCAATATCAACCCCCCTCTGTGCTGCTCCCCCCAGACCCCCAATCCCAATTTTTTTGCTGTTCCCTTTTCCCGGGAATCTCGCAGGAGGAGGATTTCCAGCGTCCGGGCAGCCGCGAGGAGGCGCAGCAGCTGCTGGAGCTGGAGCGGCTCCGCGTGGAGCGCGCCATGGAGCGCCAGCAGAAGGAGATGCTGGAGGATCACCGCTGGCTCCGCCAGGAGGTCCAGAGCCTGGTGAGACCCCCCCCGCCATCCCAAAATATCCCTCGGAAATCCGGGAAAGGAGCGGGAATCCCAGCGTGGATCCGGTTTGGGGATTGCTGAAGAATTCCGCGGTGGGATGGGTTGGGATGGGATGGGTTGTCCCCCCTTACCCCCCCCTCATTTTTCCCATTTTTCCTCCATTTATTCTTCCCTTTCCCCCCCCCATTTTCCCCTTTCCCAATTTTCCTTATTTTTCCCTTTCCCCTCCATTTTCCCCTTTTTCCCTCTTTCCCCCCCATTCCCAATTTTCCTTATTTTTCCCTTTTCTCCTCCCATTTTCCCCTTTTTCCCCTCCTTTTTCCTTTCCCCCCTTTTCCACTTTTTCCCCATTTATTCTTCCCTTTTCCTCATTATTTCCCTTTTTCTCCTTTTCTCCCCTTTTCCCTCCTTTTATTCTTCTCTTTCTCCCTTTTTCCCTTTTCCTCCTTTTTCCTTTCCCCCCATTTATTCTTCCCTTTTCCTCATTATTTCCCTTTTTCTCCTTTTTCCCCTTTTCCCCCCCTTTATTCTTCTCTTTTTCCCTTTTCCTCCTTTTTTCCTCTTTTCCTCCCTTTATTCTTCCCTTTCCCCCATTTTTTCCTTCCTTTTACCCTTTTTTCACTCCCTTTTTTCTCATTTTCCAACTTTTTCCCTCCCATTTCCCCCTTTTTTCCTCATTTTCCCTTTTTCTCTGCTTTCCCCTTTTTTCCCTCCCTTTTTTCTTCCATTTTTCCCCTTTCCCTTCCTTTTCTCCCTTTTCCCTCCCATCTTCCCCTTTTTCTCCTTTCTTTCCTCATTTTCCCTTTTTCTTTTTCCCCCTTTCTCTTTCATTTCCCTTTTTCCTCCTTTTTTTCCTCCCTTCCCTCCCCTTTCCTCCCTTTTCCTCCTTTTTTACCCATTTTCTCCATTTTCCCTTCCCTTTTTCCTCCTTTTTTTCCTCCCTTCCCTCCCCTTTCCTCCTTTTTTCCCCATTTTCTCCCTTTTCCCTCCCCTTTTTCCTCCTTTTTCCCCATTTCCCCTTTTTCCCTCCCGTTATTCTTCACCTTTTCCCTTTTCCTCCTTTTTTCCCCTTTTCCTCCCTTTATTCTTCCCTTTTTCCCCTTTTCCTTCAATTTTTCCTCTTTTTCCTCCTTTTTTCTCATTTTCCCCATTTTCTCCTTTTCTCACTTTTTTCCCCGTTCCCCTCCTTTATTCCCCCCTTTTCCCCCATTTTTCCCCTTTTCCCTCCTTTTTTCCCATTCTTCCCCCTTTTCCCTTCCTTTTTTCCCTATTTTTGCCCTTTTCCCTCCCCTTTTCCCCATTTTCCCCTCCTTTATTCCCCCCTTTTCCCCCATTTTTCCCCTTTTCCCTCCTTTTTTCCCATTCTTCCCCCTTTTCCCACTTTTTTTTCCCCATTTTTCCCCTTTCCCTCCCCTTTTCCCCCTTTTCCCCATTTCCCCCCTTTTTTCCCCATTTTTCCCCCTTTCCCCCCTCTTTGTCCCCTTTTCCCTCTTTTTTCCCCATTTTCCCCCTTTTTTTTCCCCATTTTTCCCCTTTTCCCTCCCCTTTTTCCCATTTATTTTTCCCCCTTTTCCCCATTTTTCCCCTTTCCCCCTTTTTTCCCCATTTCCCCCATCTTTTTCCCCTCCTTTTTTCCCTATTTTTCCCCTTTTCCCCCTCTTTTTCCCCATTTTTCCCCTCTTTTTTCCCCTTCCCCTCCTTCTTTTCCCATTTTCCCCCCTTTTCCCTCCTTCTCCATCCTGAATTTTGGGGCTTCTCCTCCCTCCATCCCAAATTTTGGGGCTCCTCCTCCCTCCATCCCAAATTTTGGAGCTCCTCTTTCTTCCCTCCCTCCCTCCCGAATTTTGGGGCTCCTCCTCCCTCCCTCCCAAATTTTGGGGCTCCTCCTCCCTCCCTCCCGAATTTCGGGGCCTCTAATTCCCGCTTTTTCCCCCCTGCTCAGCTCCTCCCGGAGAAGGAGACGGATTACAGTGAGTTCCTGCCGCTTCCCACCCCGCAATTCCCGCCTGGAACCGTTTCCCCCTGGATGCTCCACCAGTGAAATCCCATTTTCCCCCGAGCTGTTCATCCCGAAAAATTCGGGATCGGGGATCCCGCGGGAAGCTGGGACGGGGCCGGGAAGGCCGGGGGTGGGGGGACGTGGCTGAGATCCCGGGATTCCGCGGCATTCCCACGTTTTCCCGGGATCCTCTGGAATGATTTTCCTTCCTTTTCCCTCCTTCCCGGCGCAGCGCAATTCACGGGGCCGCCCCAGAAGCCTCCGAGACTCGGGGCTCAGGTGAGTCCTGGGACGGATCCCAATCCTCCTTTTCCGCCTCCGGAATCGGCGGGGTGGGAATTTCCCGGCCATTCCCAGCTCCGGAGGGGTCGGGCGGGATCGGGATCGTGGGTGGGATCGGGATCTTGAGCGGGGCTGACCAGGATTTCCCAAAGAATTCCGGGATGGTTTGGGTGGGAAGGGACCTTCAAGATCATTCCATGGAATCACCTCCCACCGTCCCAGGGTGATCCAACCTTTCCTTGGACATTCCCAGGGATCCAGGGATTCTCTGGGAATTCCAGCCCAGCCAGGAATTCCTTCCAAAGATCCCAAAATTCCGACCCTGTGGCCATGGTGGGAGCCGTTCCCTGTCCTGCCATTCCAGGCCCTTTTCCCAAATCCCTCTCCAGCTCTCCTGAGTTGGATCCATCCCCATCCCAGCTCCTCTCTGGGAAGGAATTTCAGGATCCAGGGAATTCCCTGGGAACTGGGGACTCCAGGAAGGGTCTCCCTTCCCTTTTCCATCCCTGAATTCCATAAAAATCCCTGGGGATGGATCTTGAGTGTCCTTGATCCCAGAATCCCGGAATGGTTTGGGATGGGATCCACGGACCTTCAATCCCACGATCCCAGGGACACTTCCCACATCCCAGGGTCATCCAAATCCTTCCTTGGACACTGCCAGGGATTCTCTGGGAATTCCAGCCCAGCCGGGAATTCCTTCCCAAGATCCCACCATCCCAAGCTCCCCTTTCCCACTGGAAGCCATTCCCTGGCTCCTGGCCCTCCAGCCCTTGCCCAAATCCCAGCTCTCCTGGAGCCTCTGGAAAAGGCTCCAAGGATTCCCTGGATCCTTCCCTGATCCAGCTGCACATTCCCAGCTCTCCCAGCCTGGCATTGGATCCATCCCCATCCCGATTCCTCCTGGAGAAGGAATTTCGGGATCCAGGGGCATCACTTGGAATCTCCAGGAAGGGTCTCCCTTCCCTTTTCCATCCCCATAAAATTCCATAAAAATCCCTGGGGATGGATCCTGAGCGTCCTTGATCCCAGAATCCCGGAATGGTTTTTGATGGGATCCACGAACCTCCAATCCCACCCCATTCCACGGACATGGAATAATTCCCTCTCCCAGGTTGCTCCAAGCCCCATCCCACCTTCCCCAGGGCTGGGACCACCACGACCCCTGCGGGCAGGCGCCGATCTTCCGTTTTTCCCGGGGTTTCTGATCCCGGGATTTCCGATCCCGTTATCCCTGTTTCCCCTCAGCCCATCCAGCCGGCGCCCACGGCCAACCTGGACCGCACGGACGATCCGGTCTACGGGAATGTCATGGATCTGGTGCGGGCCGTGCTGCAGCTGAAGAACCAGATCAGCCAGGTGCCCCCCGAGGGATACATCCTGGTGGTCAAGGTAGGCAGCAAGTCCCTGGAATTCCCTGGAATTCCCTGGGAGGTGGGAATCAGCCTCCTGAGCGGCTCCTGCCATCTTGGGAGAGGGGCTGTGTCCCTGAGAGGGAGCGGTTCCCAAATTTCCGGCTGCTCCTCCGTTGGATCCTTGGATCAGTGGTGGAGTCTCCAACATTCCCTGTTCCTCTGCTGGGTCCTTGGATCCATGGTGGGAGCAATTCCAGCATTCCCAGCTCCTCCCTTGGATCTTGGGATCCATGGTGGGACCCAATTCCCACATTCCCGGCTCCTCCCACAATCCTTGGATCAATGGTAGAATCTCCAACATTCCTGTTTCTCCCTTGGATCTTGAGATCAATGGTGGGAACAATTCCAGCATTCCCGGCTCCTCCCTGGGATCCTTGAACCAATCCCCAGCTCTTTCCTTGGATCCATAGTGGGACCAATTCCCACATTCCCAGCTCCTCCCATGATCCTTGAATCCACGGTGGAATCTCCAACAATCCCTGTTGCTCTCTTGGATCTTGGGATCAATGGTGGGACCAATTCCCACATTCCCAGCTCCTCCCTTGGATCTTGGGGTCCATGGTGGGACCAATTCCCACATTCCCAGCTCCTCCCTTGGATCTTGGGATCCATGGTGGGACCAATTCCCACATTCCCGGCTCCTCCCTTGGATCCTTGGATCAATGGTGGAGTCTCCAACATTCCCAGTTGCTCCCTTGGATCTTGGGATCAATGCTGGGAGCAATTCCAGTACTTCCTTCTCCTCCTTGGGATCCTTGAACCAATTCCCAGTTCCTCCCTTGGATCCATGGCGGGAGCAATCCCAGCATTCCCAGCTCCTCCCTTGGATCTTGGGATCAATGCTGGGAGCAATTCCAGTACTTCCTTCTCCTCCTTGGGATCCTTGAACCAATTCCCAGTTCCTCCCTTGGATCCATGGCGGGAGCAATCCCAGCATTCCCAGCTCCTCCCATGATCCTTGGAGCAACGGTGGAATCTCCAACAATCCCTGTTGCTCTCTTGGATCCTTGGATCCATGGTGGGACCCAATTCCCACATTTCTAATTCCTTCCTTGGATCCTTGGATCAATGGTGGAGTCTCCAACATTCCCTGTTGCTCCCTTGGATCCATGGTGGAATCTCCAGCATTCCCAGCTCCTGCCTTGGATCCTTGGATCAATGGTGGGAGCAATTCCCACATTCCCAGCTCCTCCCTTGGATCCATGGTGGAATCTCCAGCATTCCCTGCTCCTGCCTTGGATCCTTGGATCCATGGCGGGAGCAATTCCCACATTCCCAGCTCCACCTTGGCTCAATGCCTGGAAGATTCTCCCACCACTCCCCTCTCCCGGACAGAACCCTCCCCTCCGCCGCCCAAACTATTCCCAGCAGGAATCCATCCCTGGATCCACCCCTGGATCCATCCCAACCCTTCCTTCCCGCAGAACATCGGCCTTTCCCTACGGAAGCTCATCGGGAGCGTTGACGACATCCTTCCCAACCTTCCGTCCTCTTCCCGCACCGAGGTAGGAACGCCGCCAGCGGGGTGGGGTTGGGGGGGTGACATTCCCGGAAATTTCCCCCCCCCAAAAAAAAAACCCCCCGGAATTCCCTGAAAAAATTCCCTCCCAGATCGAGGGCACCCAGAAGCTCCTCAACAAGGACCTGGCCAACCTCATCAGCAAGATGCGCCTGGCGCAGCAGAATTCCGGCACTTCCCTGAGCGCGGAATTCCAGCGGCAGATGCTGACGGCTTCCCACGCCCTGGCCGTGGACGCCAAGAACCTTCTGGACGCCGTGGACCAGGCCAAGCTCCAGGCCGAGCTGGTCAAGCCGTGCTCGGAATGAGGTGGAAAATTCCGGATGCCGGGAGGAGTCGGCTCCTGGCGGCGCCTCCCGTTGGGATTTTTTCCCCCCGCTCTCCCTCTTCCCGCTCCTCCTGCAGCCGCCTCGTGTCTGTCAGTGTCGCGTCGCTCTTCGGAAGGCGGGAGGCATCCGGTGGGGTTTTCCTCGGAAAAAAAAAAAAAAAAAAAAAAAAAAAAAAAAAAAAAAGGGGGGTTTTGGGGTTTTTCCTTGGAAAAATAAAGAGGGGTTTTGGTAGGGCGCGGATCCGGCGGGATCCATCCCGGCGCGTCCATGGATCCATCCTCTGAGCGCGGATGGCCGCGGGCGGCACGGCGGGACGGGGGCCTGGAGCGCGCCGGGAGCGCACGGATTTTCGGGGGTGGGGGGAGCCGGAATTCCCGCCGGCGTTTTCCCCCTGGAAGTTGTACGGCGGAGTTTATTTAACGACGGCGAGCGGGAGCCGCTTCCGGAGCCTTGGGAATTCGGGGAGGGATGGGGGGCCCCCAGCTCCAAGGATGGCGGCCTCGGGAAGGGACACAAACCTGGAGAACGTTGCCTCTTCCAGCTGCGTTATTCCCAAGTTTTGTGTGAGCGCCGCCGGCAAAACCGCGCGGCTCCGGCGGGGTTTGTGCTTCCGGTTGGGAACCGGGCGATTCGGGCTTTTCCCCAGCGTTTTTCCTGCAGTTTTCCCAAATTTTTTGGTTTTTTTTTTCCCCCCCCACCCCCAGCTTTGATAAACCGTGCACCAAATCCTGCCGTGGCCTGTCCTTCCTGTCATTCCCCTGGAATTCCCATGGGAAGAGGAATGGTTGGGACGGTCGGAGACTTCTTGGGATGGTGGGAATGGAATTGCCCATGGAATGGGATGAGCGTTTTGGGAATGCCCAAAGTGGGGCTTTCCCAAAAAAGGGTGGAGGGGTCAAGGCCACATTTGGGGTCACCCACCCCAGAGTTTGGGGTGGTGGCCTCTCATTCCAAGGATTTGGAGGGGCTGGAGGTGGGAAAAATCCTGGGAAAAAAGAGGATCCTGAGGGAGCTTCTCCCTCTGGAATTCCCTGCCAGGAGGGTGGGATCGGGATCTTCTCCCAGGGAATGAGGGATGGGATGAGAGGCAGCGGCCTCCAGCTGTGCCAGGGGAGGTTTATGGGATATTGGGAATGATTTATGGGATTTTGGGAATAATTCCTTCATGGAAAGGGTTTTCCGGCCCTGGAAAATGGTGGAGTGTCCCCATTCCTGGATGGATTTAAATCCCTGTGGATTTGGTAGGACACGGATCAGGGGTGGCTTCGGCAGCGCTGGGAAGGCCTGGACTCCATCTCCGAGAGTTTTCCCAACCCAAATAATTCCGTAATTCCCAGATTTTACCAGTGTCCCGGTAAAACCCATCCCCCCGGAGCGACGCAGCTCCGACCAGGAACCAGCCACGACCTTCCCGGGAAAATCCCTCTCCGTATCCAGGAGATCCTGGCCTGATCCTGCCTGGACACTGCCCCGACGTGTCCCCGCGCCGGATCCGTCCGTCCGCCGGCTCCGGAGGCTCCGGAAGCGGCAGGGACACCCCCCCTCGGGATGTCCCCGTTAATTCCGGATGATTTCACTCCGGAATGCTCCAAGCGTTCCCTGAAATCTTCCCGGTCATGCTCCAGGAGGGAAAACGGGCCGGGAAAAATCTCCCGGGAGGAGCAGGGACCTCCTGGGATTTTGGGATTGTGGATCATGTCTGGGCTCCTTCTGCCGGGAAAATTCCCGGTGTTTCTCAAGAGCCTGGAAAAATGGAGAAGGTGCTCCCAGGGTGTGGAGGATTTATGGAAGCTGGGAATGAAAAGCTGGATCACAGCAGGCGTCAGAGCCGGGAAAATTTGGGATCGGAGGTGGGATGGGGAGGATTGGGATGGATCCAGGAGCGCGGATTCCCGCTGTTCCAGCCAAAGCCGGTGGAGATCCTGGAGATCCTGGATCATGTGGGATTGGAATCATGGGATTATGGGATTATGGGATCATGTCTGTGTCCCTGCTGCACGGACCATCCACAGCATTATCCCTGTCCCACAATTTCCTGGGATCATGGGATTATGGGATTATGGGATCGTGTCCATGTCCCCTCTGCACGGACCATCCACAGCACTATCCCTGTCCCACAATTTCCTGGGATCATGGGATTATGGGATCATGGAATTAGGGGATCACATCCATGTCCCCTCTGCACGGACCATCCACAGCACTATCCCTGTCCCACAATTTCCTGGGATCATGGGATTATGGGATTATGGGATTATGGGATCATGTCCATGTCCCCTCTGCACGGACCATCCACAGCACTATCCCTGTCCCACAATTTCCTGGGATCATGGGATTATGGGATTATGGGATCGTGTCCATGTACCTTCTTCACGGACCATCCACAGCATTATCCCTGTCCCACAACTTCCTGGGATCACAAGATGATGGGATTGTGGGATTATGGGATCCTGTCCATGTCCCTGCTGCACGGACCACCCACAGCATTATCCCTGTCCCACAATTTCCTGGGATCATGTGGGATTGGGATCATGGGATCATGGGATCATGGGATCATGGGATCATGTCCGTGTCCCCGCTGCACGGACCATCCACAGCATTATCCCTGTCCCACAATTTCCTGGGATTGTAGGATCACAAGACGATGGCATCATGGAATGATGGGATTGTGTCCATGTCCCTTTTGCATGTGGGACTGGAATCATGGGATTATGGGATTATGGGATCATGTCTGTGTCCCCTCTGCACGGACCATCCACAGCATTATCCCTGTCCCACAATTTCCGGGATCATGTGGGATTGGGATCATGGGATTACAGGATCATGGAATTACGGGATCACATCCATGTCCCCTCTGCACGGACCATCCACAGCAGTATCCCTGTCCCACAATTTCCTGGGATCATGTGGGATTGGGATCATGGGATTATGGGATTATGGGATCATGTCCATGTCCCCTCTGCACGGACCATCCACAGCACTATCCCTGTCCCACAATTTCCTGGGATCATGGGATTATGGGATTATGGGATTATGGGATCATGTCCATGTCCCTTCTGCACGGACCATCTGAAGCCTTATCCCTCTCCCACAACTTCCTGGGATCGTGGGATCCCGGGATCACGGGATCATCCCCGTATCCCACATCATCCCAAGGCCACCCCTCTCCCCATCCCCTTCCCCACCCTCCATCCCCACCGGAGATTCCCCACAGCTCCACGTCCCCACCGCCATCACCCCGCGGGGTGCGGCCGCCGCCATTCCCGCGGCATTCCCGCGGCATTCCCGCCGGGAATCCTAGATCATCCCGGCCAGGTAGGGCGGCAGGAAGAGCCCCGCGGTGCCCAGCAGGCAGACGATGATGAACATCCACAGGAAGATCCGGTCGATCACCATGGCCACGTACTTCCAGTCCTCCTTCACCTGCCGGCGGGAAAAGGGCGGTGAATCCCGCGGGAATCCCTTCCCGGGAATCTGGCGGGGTTAGGAGACCGAGCAGAGCTTCCCGGGGATCTCCTCGGCGTGAGGAGACACGGCGTTTCTGGGAAAAATTTGGGGAGTTTTCCCAGAAATCCGGAGGTGGGGGAGGGGGGGGTGGAGGTCTCCAGGGCGGGGCTGATCCCACACGGGGTTTTCCAAAGCTACTTTGGGAAAAGCGGGAATGCGGCCTCCGAGGGTGCCAAGGGTGGGAGAGGGATCTCCAAAATTCCCAAAGGCAGCGGGAGCCGGAGGAAGCCTTGACTGATCCTGCAGAACGGGAACGTGGTGGGAGATGGATCAGGGATCTTCTCCCTGGTTTTGGGTCCTTGGGAACCAACCATGGATCCCGGAGCTGCCCTTCCCGTTTTTGGGATGTCAGGAACCAAAATGGGGTCCCAGAACGGCTCTTCCCAGTTTTGGGATCTAGGGAACCAAACCTGCATCCCAGAACTGCCCTTCCCAATTTTGGGATCTTCAGCCCCATCCCACTATTTTTGGGACCTCCAGCCCCACCCACAGATCCCAGAACATCCCTTCCCAATTTTGGGATCTCCAGCCCCATCCATTGATCCAGATCCATCCCAATTTTGGGATCTAGGGAACCAAACCTGCATCCCAGAACTGCCCTTCCCAATTTTGGGATCTAGGGAACCAAACCCGAATCCCAGAACCGCCCTTCCCAGTTTTGGGATCTTCAGCCCCATCCCAGTATTTTTGGGACCTCCAGCCCCACCCACAGATCCCAGAACATCCCTTCCCAATTTTGGGATCTCCAGCCCCATCCGCGGCTCCCAGAACTGTTCTTCCCAATTTTGGCCTCTCCAGCCCCATCCACAGATCCCAGAACTTCCCTTCCCAATTTTGGGACCTTCAGCCCCATCCATTGATCCCAGATCCAACCCAATTTTGGGATCTCCAGCCCCATCCGTGGCTCCCAGAACTGTTCTTCCCAATTTTGGGATCTCCGGCTCCATCCACAGATCCCAGAACTTCCCAATTTTGGGATCTCCAGCCTCATCCAAGGATCCTAGAACTGTTTTTCCCAATTTTGGCATCTCCAGCCCCATCCACAGATCCCAGAACTTCCCAATTTTGGGATCTCCAGCCCCATCCACAGATCCCAGATATTCCATTCCCAATTTTGGGATCTCCAGCCCCATCCGCGGCTCCCAGAACTGCTCTTCCCAATTTTGGCCTCTCTAGCCCCATCCACAGATCCCAGAACTTCCCAATTTTGGGATCTCCAGCCTCATCCAAGGATCCCAGAACTGTTTTTCCCAATTTTGGGATCTCCAGCCCCATCCATGGCTCCCACAACTGCCCTTGCCAATTCTGGGATCTCTTTTTGGCATCTCCAGCCCCATCCATGGCTCCCACAACTGCCCTTCCCAATTCTGGGATCTCTAACCCCATCTGTGTATCCCCGAACTTCCCAATTTTGGGATTTCCAGCCCCATCGACAGATCCCAGAACTTCTCTTCCCAATTTTGGGATCTCCAGCCCCATCCATGGATCCCAGAACTTCCCATTCAATTTTTGGGATCTCCAGCCCCACCCGTGGGTCCCATTTTTGGGACCTCCAGCTCCATCTGCGGATCCCAGAACCGCCCTTCCCAATTCTGGGATCTCTAACCCCATCTGTGTATCCCCAAACTTCCCAATTTTGGGATCTCCAGCCCCAACCACAGATCCCAGAACTTCCCATTCA